AATGAACTCACCGGGGATTTTGTTATTCTTTGGCCAGCCCTGCTGCACATATTCAATAATCTCATGCAGTAAAGAATCGTTAGAATTTTCCCTTCGTAGTTCCTCGATCGTCAAGGCAGACAGGTTAGCTCCGAGACTGGAAACTAGTACCGCCTCTCTGAGTCTCTCTTTTTCATCCTCCAACCCTACGGGTAAGCGAGATAGGCCGTCAGCAATCTGATTTTGCAAACCTGGCCGGTACACAATTTCAAAATCGTAGTTAAGGAGCCTAGCATACCAGCGATCGATTCGCATTGGGCGAGATCCTTTAGATCCATTGCTGAGAAGAGCTGTTAGGGCTGAATGATCAGTACGCAGAATAAAACGACGACCGAAAAGAAATAAATGCCACCTTTCACAGGCCCACACACATGCAAGAGCTTCTTTTTCCCCAACTGAATAATGACGTTCGGAATCTGATAGCTTTCGTGATGCGTAGGCAATAACTTTCTCCTCTCCGTTTTGTATTTGTGAGAGGACAGCTCCGAGACCGACATCAGACGCGTCAGTGGACACAAAGGTGCGGCAAGATTCATCAAAAATGGCAACTAAGGGAGCAGACGCAACTCTCCTTTTCAGTTCATCAAAGGCATTTTGATGATTGCTGCCCCAAACGAACGACGATCCTTTCTTTGTTAACTGTCGTAATGGATCTGCCACAGTCGCAAAATCCGGCAGATAACGCAGGTTGTAAGAGCACATTCCTAAAAAGGACTTTAGTTCTGTCAAATTTTTGGGTGTTGGCGCTTCAGAGATGGCCCTGATATTTTCATCACTTGGTCGAATGCCACTGCGTGAAATGACGTGTCCCAAAAACTGTATTTCTGGTGCATTGAAGAGACATTTTTCTGCGTTCAGACGCAAATTGAGATCACTGAGGCGCTGGAGGACTTTGTGTAGCCTTTCATCATGTTCTTCCTGTGAGCGGCCGAAAACACAAATATCATCCATGTAGGCAACCTGCCCATCGATACCTGCCAGGGCGTGAGTCATGAACTTTTGCCAGGCGGCGGGTGCGGAACTCAAACCCATGGGTAAGACTTTGTACTGAAATAGGCCATCAGGAGCGAGGAATGCAGTTAGGTGTTTGGAATCATCGGCCAATGGCATATGGAAAAACGCACTTTTCAAATCTAGCTTGGAAAAAACAGTTGCACCAGCTAAACGTACAGTGAGTTCATCATTAGATGGTAAAACAAAGCGTTCTACGACGATCTGTTTGTTCAGCGCCTGCAAATCGTTGCATATCCGGACAGTACCGTCTTTTTTCATGACACAAACCATTGGATGCACCCACTCAGAGCAATCGATGGGTTCAATCAAATCATTTGCTAGCATCGCTTGCAGGGCTGCAGAGACCGCTTCACGTTTCGCTAGCGGAATGGGTCGAGGTTGACCAATGGCGATCGGTTTCGCATTCGGTTTCAGCTGAATTCGATGCACACCACATGGAATACGGCCGATGGACTTCTGGAAGAGCTTCGGATAATGTTCCTGCTAGTGTGCTACGTTGACGCAAGAGAAAAGCATGCGGTCGAATGATGGTACAATGTGCAAAGCCACCATAGCATTCCTCCCAAGCAAGGGTCGTCTGTTGTCCGAAGAAATATACACTGCGACATCGGCAATCACAGAATGCAACTGCAAAGGCACGATAATAAATCCCAATATGGTTAGTGTGTTCCCACTATAACTCCAGAATGAATGTGAGGTGGGATGTAAAGTATGCTGTGATAGGTAGCGTTCATAAAATTGGAAGGGCACGATAGTAACTGGAGAAGCAGAATCAAGTTCCATTTCCAATGGAACAGCACCTTTAACAGTAAGGAACAATACAGTACGAATGTCAGCAGCTGGAAACTTCGGTTCAACAACGGATATGGTTACACAACCTGAAGGTATGGAGTCAGCCGTGATTGAATAGATATTGTCTTGAGTTGGATCGGTAACATGGCATTCCGGTGTATCATCTTCTTTAATGAGTGCGACAGCCTGCGATCGACAACAGCGGGCATAATGACCAATTTTACCATAGTTTTTACATTTGAGGCTGCGTGCAGGACAACCGGCAAAATTAGCTTTGTGAGACGTGCTCCCACAACGATAGCAAGAAAGTTTGTCTGTCGGACGTTGCCGGAAAGATTGTACTCTCGCCACTTCAGCTAAGCTGGTGGAACAAAACTGCTTCGATTGCAATGAAATTTCTGTCTTTACTCGGGCTAATTCGCAAGCTCGATCCCACGTTAGTGTGCAAGCGTCTTCCTGCAATAGCCCCTCACGTATGCGATTGTCAGCGATTCCAGTGATCAGTTGCTGAGTGAGCATACAGCCTTCAATCTTTTTCTGTGGAATAGACGAGTAGGCGCACGGTCGTACTGCACGACTCAGCCGAGCAATGAAATCATTCAAGGGTTCGCCTGCTTCTTGGTGTATTCGGGAGAAAATATATCGCGCGGTAAACACGTTCATTTGGTAACTCCATGCACGATCGAGAGCATTGAAGGCGTCCATAACCGATTTGCATCCTTGGAGACCCAAATCATCGAATTGTCGCTGTCCCTCATCTCCGAGTAAATGACGAAGCAGCTTCAATCTTTTATCCTCAGTAAGAGCAGTAGGGAGATCGCTGATTAAATCCAAGTAGTTTAGGAAGGATGTTTTCCAACGGAACCAGGCATCCGATGTCGGTCTGCTGCCGCAATCAGTCCAAAATTGAGATGGGGGTTGGATGGAAAGGTTCATTTTTGCCTCCGCGACGCCACAATGTTGTATCAAGAAAGCCGTAGGAAAGGTAAAATGTATCTCGCAAAATTAACGTTGTACATCTGAGTCAACTTCTTGTTATTCGGAGAGTCAAGCGACAGACGCACACAACCAATAGTAATGAGTCAGCAAGCCAACCAATGAGCTTGAGCCAATCGATCTTGCTCACATGGTTACCACAAGCGTGACGCTGTCATCATCGTTCATCTTGGTGATCTTCAGGCATTGATATCGCGTGTTGAAGATGGATGACTGCTCTCCAAATATTTGGCCCAAGCATTTGACAGTTTCCTCAAAAGTGCAGTCTCAGGCGTTCTTATGCAAAATAAAGCTGACATACCTGGAGTGCACTGCTGTTCCAATTTTCCTTAACAGCAATCGGACTTTCCAATCGTCATCATGGTCTCCAAGTTCAACGCGAAACACAACTTCATAACTCTTGAACCAAGATTCAAAGGTGAGACCAGCATCAGGGTCGTACGAAAATTCGGTAATGTTGTTAGTGATGGCGTCTACCGATGCGGACGGCTTGATGGTTGTAGACAGTGAACCGGTCTGGATTGAGAGTTGGCGCGAAGAGTTCCGATCAGCCTGAGTTGGGATGCCTCAAGTTGCGTTTGTTGCTGCAGCACAATGGCCGTGAGGTCGTCAGCCGATATGGACATCTTGATTAGGGTCCAACCCGTCGTCAGCTGAAGTGTTCGTCCCTCGCCTGAATGGACGCTTGATTCCCAATCAAAACCCGAAGTCGCTGACCCCCCAGAGGACAGAGAGAAGACCGGATCGGACGAGCAGAGCAACAGGGATGATATTAGCGAATCACACCGTTCATTATAAAGGTGAAATGGAAAGTTCCTGAATGACATTTAAAGCGCACGTGGAAAGCTCTGGAAAGATCAACTTACAGCCAATAAAGGAACGCCGCTCTCGCGTTAATTGGCCGCTTCTCCCGATTGGCTCTCTGTTCTCCCCAGTCAGGGCAGGTGTGTTTGGATCATCTGACGCGGTGATGGGGTCCTGGCTTGTTCGCATCAAGTAGTCCTACTTAATATATATATATATATATATATATATATATATAACTTGATAACTTTTTATGGCAGACATATATATATATATATCTGCCATAAAAAGTTATCACGGTGGTTATGTGAATGCCGGGCTTGTTCACAGTTGTGCTATAAGGTAACCGCGAAAATAAGCGCCGTGAGATCGGGACATGCGTGAAGGATGACGTATTCGCATAATGCCGTGTACCCCCTCAGAATGAAAACAAAGTCAGGGTATTAGTTGAACACTATTGTTCACCAGCCATGAAGTCATTCCCATTGCACATAACGTTGAAGCGATATTTCGGTGTGACAGCATTCCACTAGCTATTTCCAGCTGGCGCCTTCCATATTGCATTGCCGTATTCATTGGCTCGCTCTCTAACCCACAACTGCTCAATCCGGGCCACGATGAACCCTGATCACTCTAGACGACATCAATTCTGGCCGGTGTGATCCTAATTGGCTCGTATGGGCGGCAACTGGTTCGCTTATCTCTCGCCTGCCCACGTCCATCAGTTGTACAGGTGCGATCGGGCATGGTGTGCTTTTCGCTGGCTGTTAATCGGACCAATCAGGCCCACCCTTCAAGCGTGCTAGACTAAGTGGATTCTATTGTGCGTCTCTCAGACTCGTGGGATTGTGGCCTGTTCGCGAGGGCGATATTCCATCTACCTTTCTCCCACTAATTCCGAGCTGATTTCCTTCAGTTGAGCCACGAGACACCGTCACGCATTAGATATCATTGTGCATAATCAGCGACCAGACGGAATAAAAGAGTCAAACGAATGTCTGCAGAAAGCTGAATCAACCGTTAACATTACGCGCAGCGGTCACTCACTGTGAATCGAACCATTATGATAGCTGTGGCGGAAAGTGCGTTCGGTTTAAGTTTAATCACGAACATCGCATAGTGGCAACATTAAAGACGCAAAAGTGGCTTGTGAACCAAGAAACTATGTAGCTTTCTAGTCTACACCTAATGGTTCATGAATTAATCGTCCGCATCGCCACCATCTGCACACCATCGTTCAGTCATAGCCATAGCATAAGCTTAATACTGAGAAAATAAGCGGTATTGATGCCATCCAACCAGCAGTCGTAGACAGCTAGGTAGCAATGTAAAAAAACGTATGGTAAGATAATTTTTTAACTCACGGCTTTTTCTTTCTGAATTTCTAGAATCTTCAGGTCATACAACCTATCACGTTCCCTCTCCTCTTCACGTCTCCGTCGCATTTCATCATTGGCTTCATTTAGTTCTTGACGTATCTTCGCCTGTTTTTGGCGTTTCACTTCTATATTGGCAATCTCTTTTAGCAACTCCTCGCTGATCCGTTGCTGCTCCAGTGCATTCTCCTGTTCGCTGCGTTCCAATTCCAACAGTCTATCTTGTCGATTTTGCTGAATCTGAGTCAAGACTTGACAAGCACCAAGCATTTCCTACACGTGTAGGGTGTGATAGAAAGCATGGAAGATAAATTGAGAAAAATTAGACACACCGTGATCGGTGGCGTCTAAATTAACGGGAGGAGTCTTGTCCCAGGAATACTGACTAAGGTCAACAATCCTACTGGAAGTACTTAATGAATTACAACATTGTGTTGTATGACCCCTTCGTTTACAGTGTGATCGTGTATATTCAGGTGTGTAAAAATTTTCACTAGACTATAGAGTCGAAAAATTCCTTCTCACCTTTTGTACAAACAAGCACAATAAATAACTAAATGATTTATTCTCGACGATGCGAGACACGTCTTCAAAGGCAGGATCACAGCCTGTTTTACGAACATTTCGCTTCTTTTCCCCACCTACTCAGTATTTTTATTCGCTAAACGATCTGCCAGCGTACAACTTGGTAGGTGGTTTTTTCGTCTGCTATGCTAACATTAACTGTTTTTAAGTGGAAATGTCCATTGCAGATAATTAACAAATAAGCCTCTAATTATTTATGCACCTTTATTAATTTTGTGAAGTAATGTACGCGAATGTTTGCACTGTGATATATTACAGAACAAATGAAAAGATGCAAGTCATAAGGTGTATTATGTCGAGAATTTTCTCGATTGTTGATATTTGTTTGTTTGTTGTTTAACATTTCTGTCACACTATCCTCTAACTTGTTAAATTATAAAAAGTGCCGATTCAATGTCTCATTTAATTGTATGTCACGTAACACATAAAGACTATGGGTGATGTACTATAACGCTTGGATGAGTCCGCTTTTGTGTCATCCAATTCCGATGATTCTAAGGATGAGCTTTATTCTACCGGACCTGATATACTTCGTGGTGAGAGTGATAATAGTGCTATGATCGATGGAGATGAGAAAGAAAATCTCGAAAAACCCAGTAATTTTGCGAGACAAAAATGAAGGGACAACTGATTTGGAACCAGAGGAAGCCAGCATCAAATGGCGATCTTCCGGAGATGGATTGCATTAAGGCAAAATAAATTGGTAGGAAGATTTCAGTTTAGAGAAAAGCTTCATTTCATCCTCAAAATGCTTTCTGTGCTACCTCGGGCCGGGAAGTTTTGGCAAATTTGCAGTACAGATAAATATGTATCACACGATTAAATCTGGGAAAAATTTTGGCACAATAGCTACCGAAATGAAAGCGCTTTTAGCATCTCGATCTTATTGGCCTATGTTGGCCTTCCAAGAATCCGAAAGTATTGGTAAAAGGCCACAAGAGTTAATGCAGGTGCAGATGTTATGCCGATGAATTGATACTTGCAAACCCAAAATACGATCCACATCATTGCCGAGCGAAATCCATCTCAAAGAACAATTGAATTTCGGAAAATATCCCATTCATAGATGAAAACTCAGTGTCATCAAGCGAACATATGTTTTCAATAATCTTTCCTCAGTCTGGCACCATTATATGCAGAAAGAAGACCAAAAAGTAGACGCAGCACATTGACCGATAAGACACTCAGTTTACAACCACTGATCACTGGCAATCACTGTCCAACAGGTCATAGCTGTAGCACGAAATGCCCCGTCCGAACCAAGGAGATCTGGAACGTTCAGTCTATAATCACAGCGGTGCGTGCTTGTTATTTATAGCTAACTCGAGAAGTGTTCAATTGTTGTGGAACAAATGATATCATTTACTTGAAGAATGACAGCAAAAGAACGCATCAAATGCAAACCAAACCCAATGGGAGTGAAGGACTGTTAGACGGGCTCACGCTTGACAGTCGTTCACAGCTAGATCGTTTGACATTCGTGACTGTCCTGTCACGTGATTGTGTTGAACGCACGCACGACAGTCGTTCAGAGTTGGGTCGCTTACCATTCATAACTATGCCCTTTCATGTGGTTAATTGATTGATCTACTGAGAGTTGTGCATTGCTGTTGCTCAGGTATGTCCGTTGATCTACTGAGAGTTGTGCATTGCTGTTGCTCAGGTATGTCCGTTTTAGAATACAGCTCGTTCCAACGCGTGTGTTCTCGCTTCTCGTTCAGTGGGTTCAGTTACAGTCAGACGTTATAATAGACAGGCGACGGCATCCCGGTTTGCAAACCATGACGGTCCCTTTGGGATTTCTTCAAGAAATTCTGTCCAGACAGCAACCACCGTTTGAGGCGTCACAGTAACGCTTAATTGAAACGGTAACAACGCAAATGTCGTTGCAGTCAGCATCTAAGAACTCAACGGTTTCCACTGCAGACAAGCTGGTGCACAGTATGGCAGAATTTCGTTACCAGCCGGACGATGACCTCACTTTTGAAGCATGGTTCCGCCGCTATGAAGATTTGTTAAAAGTTGATGGGCGAGAGCTAGGCGACGCAGTCCAGGAGCGTCTTCTTTTGAGGAAATTGGGTCCACAAAAGTATGAAAAGTACTCTAATTACATTCTACCCAAGAACCCACGCGATATCTCTTTGGACGATACTAAAAAGAGTGTAGAGCCTGTAGAGATACCGGTTGCTGACGTCAGATATTGTAGAGTTGACCAGGTTTCTGTTTGCAACAAAGAATTAGGAAAACGCGCAAGCTAGAGGGTTGCGAAGGAAGTAGCATGTCCCAGAGTGTTAAGTGCAACTCATTTCATTGCTGTACAAGTGACAACAACTATTTCTAAATCTTGGAAGATACTTGGTACCGATCGAGTAGTCATGAGTTCAGAGGTTTGAAAACAATCGGTTGGTTTAGTAGCTTGATAACGTTTCGCTCTCGACACAAGGGCCTCGTCAGACCAGGTGAATCAGTGTACAATTTGGGTGGGATTTTATAACGAACAGAGGCGATAACCGCGTTACCCGAGACTTGAGCCATGATGTCATTACAATAACGGTTCGTGATGTCACCTCAGGTGGTTTGAGCACAGTGGGAATAGTCCAGGGGTTCCTTTGTGCGTCATGCCAATGACAGATAAGCCCATAGTGTTGACAATGGGAGTCGGTTTGCACCTTCCAATCTGATCCACGCACCGATACTCGTCAAGCTGGCTGATTTAAGACCGCCCGCCACGCACTAGGGAGTTCTACCATCTCCATTCTATTCACGCAGTCGTCAGATTTGGCAACTTTCACCGCCTCGGCAATCAACCGCTCAGGGGCTGATCGTATACCCCTCCTAATGACCTCTACGTTTTCGAGGTCTATCTGGTGTTGCGTGTCTAATGCATGCACAGCTGCGGCCGAGTCTCTTACTATTGCCTGAGATTCAAACTCGTTTCTTGGTAGTCTTGAAATGCGCCTCCTATGCTCCGAAATTCGTGTGAGTAATTCTCTCGCTGTTTGGCCTAAATACACATGGGCACAGTCCTTACATTTAATTTTATAAACAAAGCTAGCTGTCCTATCCTTGGGAAGGGGATCCTTCAGGTGTACCAGCGCCGAACGTAACGTTCGACCTCGCTGAAAGATCACCCTTATGGTTTTCTTGTTTAATACCCTCCGAATTGCCTCCGAAGTGCCTTCCTTGTACGGAATTCCGACCGTCCCTATCCACTCGGCTTGGGGTCTTGACTGCCGGTGTAGCATTTTATGCAATTGGCGTTTGACTAGCCGCCGTGGGTAACCACTTTCTAATAGTTTGCTCATTGCTACTTTGCGCGCAGCCTTTTTGTCCTCCTCCATCGTGGATAAGGTTTGTGCCCTGTAGAACAGCGCTGAGGATATCCCAGCGTAAAGCTGTTTCGGATGACCCGAAATGTAGTGGAGTACGCCCTCAGTATCCGTTGGCTTGCGATATATTGTTGTCTTTAAATTTCCCCATTCCTGTGAACCAGGCAGTCAAGAAATGGTATTGTGCCGCTACAAGATTCCAACTCAATGGTAAACTGCATTCTCCCATCAATGGAGTTTAAGTGGTCAAGCAACTGGTCCCTTTTATCCCGTTTAACAAGTACAAAGGTATCGTCTACATAACGCCACCAAACCTTTGGTGAGTTAATGGTGTTTGTTAACGCCCGGTTCTCGAAGTCTTCCATATACAGGTTCGCCAGTACAGGGGATATTGGCGATCCCATGGCGAGACCTTGTTCCTGGCTGTAAGGTTTCGACTGAAAAACGAAGTAAGACATGTTAAGGCACACTGTCATGCCCTCGATTATCTGGCTAACTGTTAGTTTCGTCCGATCATTCAGAGTGAGATCTTCATTTAGACGACGTCTCGCTATTCCTAGCGCCTCTTCATTGGGTACATTGGTGAAAAGTGATGTGACATCGAAGCTGACCATCAACTCATCTGACTCAATTCTGAGACTTGCTATCTTTTGAGCGAACTCATAAGAGTTTTTAACGAATGTACTCGTTTCCCCTGTTAGAGGCTGCAATAGCCTTGCCAAATGTCTCGCAAGTTTATGGGTCGGGGAGCCTATACCGTCGACTATGGGCCGTACGGGAACTTCGGGTTTGTGAACTTTTGGCAAGCCATAAACCCTCGGAGGTAAAATCGGTTTTGGGTATAGACTGTACCACTTGCCTGTTCCTAAACCATCCTTCACGGTTCATAAATAGTTATCAACCTCCGTTTTAATCATGTTTATTACTGACGCCACGGTCTTATCAACAACTACTCTATATGGACCCGTCTCCAAATGTTGTCCCATTTTTTCCAAGTATTCTGACCTATTCATTACAACTAGGGTTTTTCCCTTGTCAGCCTTTGTAAGTACAATGCTGCGATCTTCCTTCAAGGAACTTAATGCGATACCTTCAGTTTGCGGAAGATTTGGCTCACCCGGTTGCTGAAACTTAATGATATTTACTAACTGTGCCCGAATATTCTCTGCGTTCGTAGCGGGAAACTTTGTCACCGCGCTCTCAATGCTTGGGATAATCGCTTCCGCATAAATCTTAGATTTATTAATGGTAAATGTCAAACCTTCATCCAACAATCTATATTCCGTTTCATTCAAAACCCTGTCTGACATATTAACTACATTACGATAGGTACTAATAAACCCAGAACTGTCAGTAGGACCGGTAGCATTAGGATGCACAGATATTAAACGCTCGAACTTACGCATTTGTCTTTTCTTTGCACCCTGCCCTTGTTTCAATTTGACGTCTGAAGCCTTATGGAAAATTCGGTTGTAGT